CTACAACAACAACCAAACAGCCTAGTTATGGCAATCAATACCGGCAACAAACCACACAGCCAACAAGCAGATATGGCAATGAAAATAAGCAATCCAGCACACAACCAACAAGTAGATATGGCAACCACAACAGGCAATCCAGCACACAACCAACAAGTAGATATGGCAACCACAACAGGCAATCCAGCACAGAGCCACCAAGTAGATATGGCAACCAGTATCAACAATCTACTACAACAACAACCAAACAGCCTGGTTATGGCAATCAATACCGGCAACAAACCACAGAACCACAAGTAGATATGGCAACCAAAACAGGCAATCCGGCACAGAGCCACCAAGTAGATATGGCAACCAGTATCAACAATCTACTACAACAACAACCAAACAACCTAGTTATGGCAACCAATACCGGCAACAAACCACACAGCCAACAAGCAGATATGGCAATGAAAATAAGCAATCCAGCACACAACCAACAAGTAGATATGGCAACCACAACAGGCAATCCAGCACAGAGCCACCAAGTAGATATGGCAACCAGTATCAACAATCTACCACAACAGCTTCTAGCTCAGAAGAGTCGAAAACTACACGCTATACGAGACGTCCGTATGGAATACTCGATTATGGAATATCTCAGACGTCCTCTGATGTAACATTACTAACATCAGCAGATGCTAACGCTGCCGGGAGCCAGAAAATAACTGTCAAACCACACAGCGCAGGCAACAGCAAACATTTGATCACTAAGCGTAAAATTACCGAAATCAGAACCTCGGCTGCTACTGCTGTCCCAGATACGCTAACGAAGCAGCAATCCACGCGGAAAGAACTCGACCAATTCACACCGACTACGAGTAAACCGTCCCACGGTATAATCGGCTATGGCATAAGTAAGCTGCTACGGCGGTTAATACGCGACAACACTGCGCGACCCAGAGAAACCCTTGAGCGAAAATATACAGGGTCGCCAATGCAGGCATTCAGAGAGTCACTGACGACAGTTGCAACGACATTTTTGGGTCAATCGGCGAACACCACAACTAAGCAAATGCCTACATCTACAACAGCGGCAAAGGGTAGACCGAATACTGTTGTTCCAAGTAGTTCCCCTGTGAATGGGACGGGCGGCAAAGGTACGCCGATGGCGGAGACGGCGTCGTCTTCACCTGATGCACCTAATAGCGTCAAGGGCAATGCATCCAGTGTGCCCAATGGAAAAGCCCCGTCTGGATCTTCAGGGCTAAACATTAGTGGTACGTGGGTTTCTCTTACTAATAGAGTGTTTTGATATAGTAATTATCACCGCATCTGCATATTAGCACCTCAATATTATTATCCTATACACATTACGTATCCGTCTATGGTTTGATTGTGAGACAGACGATTTGGAGTTTTGTTGACCGAGAACAAATCAATGTTGCACGGGACCGGAGCTCGAGGGTAACATTGATTTTGGAGGTCAACGAAAATCTGTGAGTGTCTATGAATTTCTTTCCAACAGGTATCGACGTTGCGTGTAACTCCTACGAAGGAAACATGACCATAACTGTTAACTTCACGGCTTCCTTCAACGGAAATCTATTCATTAAGGGTTTCTTTGATGATTGCATCGTGTCCGGAAACGACACCAGCAACAGTACCAGCATCACGATCCCACTAGATAGCTGCGGCACGCAACAAACCACCTCGGTACGTTCTAAACTGTCTTCCTATCCAACGATCTTTACTAGAGGAAATATACGTGGGTAAAATAACCAATAGGTAATTGGTTATAATATACCAATGGTAAAGCACCATCATACCACCTACCTTATCCACTCATGTGAGTTTTTAAAGTATAAAGATTGATTGCATTTACACAATGTGACCTGCCTATAATAGCCTGTATTAGAATATCGGGAGAATGATGAAGCACGTACACATACTCACGTGTTATCACGTGTTTAGACGAACACTTCGACGGGCGAGAGCATCAAATACGAAAACACTCTGATGGTGATGTTTAATCGAGAGCTAGGCATCCTGCAAGCGTCGGACAAGGCGTATCAGGCTTCATGCGAGTTTGTTCGCAAGGAAAAGAGCGTCGTGAACGGGTCCATAACGCTGCCGTGAGTATACACATTTTACCTATACATGTACTTTTTTATAATAATGACCGTTATTTCCAAGAGTACATGTATATATATATATATATATCACTATTACCGTCATCACCGTCAGCGATGGAAACCCCATGAAACTACTTCACACCAAGGATATACACAACAACATTGTTGTTGTGTATATCCTTGTTCACACCAACCTTAAGCGTCTTATTTCGAGAGCGCAGTAAAGTAGTTTGGCACCTGTAAACGCCCGTGCTTATACACACACGTGCACGTGCGTAGGCGCACACGCCCACGTAGATGTTACTTATTACAAAAGAAAATACTATTGTAAAGGGATCTATTTTAATGGGTATGGTCACTACTATTGTGACGTTTTCCTTAACTTCTATACGTTGCCATGTGACGTATTGTAAGTCCGCTGTAACTGCACTACAAAAATTCGCAGTATCTGTAACACGCTCTGGCAGTCTTTGCCAAACCGCTTTATCTAAAAAGTACACTCAGATCCCGTAACTATTACTGCTGTAAGTGTAATCCCGGATACTCGAATCTCGCAGCACGGCGTTGCGGTTGTCGATCTATCAACCGTGGATGACGGTACGCTTAAACTTGATTCGTCACTATGGACGTGATGATTGCGTATACGTCGGCATTCACAAGCGAAGTGCCCCTGTGTTCTGTACGGTCGCGATTCGCCATGCGAACGTAACTGTGGAACGTTTTCCCGAGGCATGTCTCTGCCTTTCTCCAACTTACGTCTCATCAGTGTCTGTACATAGATATATACCAACCAATGGTTGGTATATATTTATGGTCTGTAGTGGCATGACCCCTGCGTATAAAGATTTCTCGGTCCAAAACTGATTGTTTCACAGCTAATTCGATCGCGTCCTGTAATTTGCATACTTTATGTAACAATAATAGCTTCTGTATAGCTACGCTGTTGAGCCCGTCCAAAAATATGCCCGTAAGACGTTTTTGACTTAATTCCTGATAAACTTGGTGTGGGGGAATCGCTATTTCCGCCAGACGGATTAGTCGGTCTGCATAAGTTCGTATTTCCTCATGTTGATTTTGACGAAAACTTTTTAATTCGATATTCGCTATTAATCCCTGCAACGGATTTGTAAATCGTGTGCATAAAGCTTCATAAAAACTCGGCCAAGAAATTTCGGGCGTCTTCGAGAGTAGACGACGCGTGAAGTCAGAAGCAGGCCCGTGCAATGTGCTTATAGCAAAATTCATAAGTTCGCTATCAGATGATTTTAATTGAATTCGAGACCATGTTAAGGCTACTTGTCAATGCATAAAGGTGGGTACGCATTTATGTTCTTGAAGTTCTTCCCACGAAAATTTCGGCATTTCTCGACGCAATTCCGAAACTCGTGTGCTATGAGCAAAACCGTTTACCACACTGTCGAGTAATGGGTTGACCGCTTCACTAAAAACACGTGCCATCGTTTCTATGGGTAAATCAGTCATGACTCACGTAATAAAATAACGTAACGTAATAACGTAAATAAAATAAATAAAATAAATAAGTAAGTAAGTAAGTAAATAGTAAGTAAGTAAGTAATAGTAGTAGTAATAGTAAGTAAGTAAAAGTAAGTAAGTAAGTAAGTAAATAAATAAGTAAATAAAATAAATAAAATAACGTAATAAAATAATAGGATGTTGAGGAGGTTGTGGAGGGGATAGCGGCGGTAGTTATAGGTGGAGAAAAGTGATAGCATATGGTAGCAATTTTTTTTCTCTCGATATGTGACCGGCGTGTTTCTGCATCGTCCCTGCTTCTTCCATAGCCAGGTCGTATAATTGCAAATGTTCTGGCTCTATAATGCGCTATTTGCAGCGGCATATCACTGTTCGTATGCATTTCCATACATTTTGGCCATCTGGCGAAATATCTGCGTACCGAATGTCACAGTCTGTGCGCCCACATTTCGCCAGCGCGTGTGCGGCAGAATATAGTCACTATTCAACTATCTTCTTTCTTCCTCTTGTTCTTCTTCTTCTTCTTCTTCTTTTTCATCGTTATTTATCGTTATCTTTACGTTATTTATCGTTATCTTTACGTTATTTATCGTTATCTTTACGTTATTTATCGTTATCTTTGCGTTATTTATCGTTATATTTACTCAGTTTTCGGCGCGAGCATCGTAGGTTTTTCTTGCAAGTTGTGTTGCAAAGGAATACTCAGTTCTTGTGGTCCGGCACCAAATGTAGCCCTGCTATCTGATCGTATCTCTAACTCGTCGGTCAGTGATCGTAGACAGTGATGGTCGAAGACGTCTTGTACAATACAGACAGGTTTTATTCAACACATATGTCGCGACATACACCGCACCTCTATATAGCGCGTCTGTACGCGCTCGCTACACCCAGACCCCCCTCTCTCGATCCTTCTCTCCCCTTTTATACGTATCTACTTATGCCATGCTGTCACGGCTTAGCGGAAACAATACAGGCCAGGCTAGCGTGCTTTATTGCTTTGTATAATTGCGCCGCCCCCAAAAAGAATGTGATAGCGTAGGAAATGATGTAGCGAAGACTATGTCTGTATCTATTATCTATCTATCTATCTATCTATCTATCTATCTATCTATCTATCTATCTATCTCTATTCTACTATCTATCTATCTATCTATCGACTATCTTACTATTTATCCTATCTAATACTATTTAATCTATCTTATCTATTCTATCCACATCTATCTATCTTATCTATCTATCTCATCTATACTATCTATCTTCTACCTAACATCTATCTATCTATCTATCTAGGCTATCTATCTATGCTATTATCTATCTATGCTATCTATCGTATATCTATCTATCTACTATCTATCTATCTATCTATCATCTTATTATCTTCTATCTCTATCTATCTATCTATCTAAAAACTATCTATCTATCTATCTATCTTATCTATTTATCTATCTATCTATCTAGTCCATCTATATCTATTTATACTTATCTGCTTATCTATCTATCTATCTTATCTTTATTCTATCTAATCTATCAACTATCTAATCTATCTACTTCGTATCTATCTATCTATTCTATCTATCTCTATCTATCTATCTATCATCTATTCTAACTATCATTCTATCTAATTTATCTCTATTTTTACATCTATTTTCTATCTAGCATCTATCTATCTCATCTTACTATCCATCTATCTATCTATCTATCTATCTTATCTATCTATCTTCTATCTATCTATCTATCTAGTCTATCTAGTCTATCTCTCTATTTATCTATCTATCAATCTATCTATCTATCTATCTATTTATCTATCTATCTAATCTATCTATCCATCTATCTATTTATTTCTCTATTTATCTATCATCTATGCTATCTATCAGTATTACTATCTATTCTATCTATCTAATCTATCTATCTATCATCCTATCTACTATCTACATATTCTATTCCATCATCACTATCTATCTGATCTATCTATCTATCATCTATCTATCTATCTTATCTATCTAATCTTATCTATCTATCTATTATTAGTCTTATCTATCTATGCTACTCTAGTGCTATTCTATCGTATCTATGTATCATGCATCTATCATTATCATCATCCATCTATCTATTATTTCTCTATGTATGCTATCTACCTAAACTTATCTAATCTATCTATCTTATCTCATCTATCTATCTTAATCTATCTATCTATCTACGAACGTGTCGGATCATTGGTCCGGCATGAGCCATCATGACCTCTGTTGTAAGCAACCCCTGTAAGGGGCCTTACTGTGCTGCATCATCTCTGCTATTTGCACGCAGTATACCTAGTTGCTCGTCGCCACCAATACGTACGATGTTATAACGAAAAATTAATCAACGTGCTTCGCGTTTGCTCAATTAGGGCTATTCTATTACTAATTGCGTGGTTGAGCTAATCATTATCATCCAAAATAGTTATGAGAAACCAATTTTCATAGATTTTTTCGAGAATGCTTTTACATGATGTTAGCGAAGACATGTCTGTATCCTATCATCTATCTATCTATTATGGCTATCCATCTATGCTATCTTATTTATTTATCTCTATCTATTCTATCTATCTATCATCTACTCTATGCTAGTCTATCTATCTATTCTATCTACTATCGTAATCTACTATCGTACTATTTCTATTTATCTATCTAAATCTATCTATCTATGCTTATCTATCTAATTATCTATCTATCTATCTATCTATCTAATCATATCTATCTATGCTATCTATCTATCTATCTAATCTATCTATCTATCTATCTTACTATCTATCTATCATCTATCTATCGCATCATCATACTATTTATGCTATCACTCGCTAGCTATCTATTTCTCTATCTATCTATCTATCTATCGTATCATCTATCCTATCTACTATCCTATCTTATCTATCTATCCTATCTATCTATCTACTATCTATCTATCTAGCTAGCTATTTCTCTATTCTATCTATAAGCGTATCTATCTACTATCTATCTATCAATCTGTCTACATCTATGCTATCATATCTATCTATCTACCATCTACTATCTATCTATCCAATATATCTACATTTCTCTATTTACCTATCTAGCCTATTCTATTATTCTTATACTACTATCTATCTAACATCTACTATCTATCTATGCTATACTAGTCTAATCTAATCTATCTATCTATCTATCTACACTACATATCTATAATAATATCTAATATATATATAATATTATATATATATATATATATATTAATTATAGTTAGTACGTATCGGGCCGTCAAGGACAGGTTTACGTACACAACAGTAAGAGCCCAAGGCTGACCAGTTTACGCTACATTAGCCAGTTATCGATGTATGGAACACATAAGCTGACATTTCCATATCGATCGGTATCTTTGCTCAGAGGCAGTATCCTAGCCAATGAGTTTTATCCGAGGCGGGATTATTGCTAGTTGAAAACTTTTCCCAATACCCCGCGGACACGACCTGAAATATGGTCGGATCTCGTAATTGTGATCGCTCCTAACGGAGCACATACTTAAATCAAAAGAAATGAATTCTTTTTAAAGTGAACTAGTGAAGGGTATTATGTGGTGTAGCGATACTAGATTATAAAATTTAAATTCGCACAAATTGACATACGAAAAAAGAGTGAATGTATATAAACAATGTAATCTAAAGATTCGTGTTCATGATGTATAATAGAATTAATTAGTTTTAATCAGGACATTTTATATCGTATTTGATTATGAGGGCGATAGGTAACAAAATTAATATTAACGCATTATTGCATTAATTAATTAACCAAACGAACTTATTACTGAAAACAACACAGTGTACAGTATGTACAATAAAGTACTGCTGGTAAATATAGTGAGTTATTGACGATTAATTCATATATGAATGTGAAAAGTTTATACAATACTTAACATGTTAACTTCGTACATGCGGCACGCCACAAACAGTTCATCGGTCGACTACATCTATTATACCATGGTAAGCGTGTTACCGTTATCTTTGCCCAGAGGCAGTATCCTAGCCAATGAGGTTTATCCGAGGCGGGATTATTGCTAGTTGAAAACTTTTCCCAATACCCCGCGAGCACGACCTGCAATAATGTCGGGTTTCGCAATTTGTGATCGCTCCCACGGGAGCACATACCTAAATCAAAAGATGTGAAATATAGTGAAATATATTGATATCAACTCTTGTTTATTTCTTACAGCGTTAATAACTATCCTAATTTATATGCATAACAAGTTACATTCGGATAAAACGCATTCAGACACATATATAATCTAGCGATTAACGTTCGCGATAGCGAATGAAATGAAGCAATTAATTCATTGTAATCTATTTGCGCTAATAAGCTTAAGATTAACTATTATTATAGGTTAAACATGACATTAACAATTATTAAAAAAAACTATTAGATTTAAGAACTCGTTTTGTGTTAAAACATTTTTCATACAGGCCTTTGACGACCACACAGCTACCGGTTGTTAAATACGAGGCTGAGCCAGATGTAGAGTTGCTTGTGTTCAGCGGAACGGACCAGTTTTCATCGCCATCAAACGGCCTACTGGTGGGAGAAGGTGGCACACTCGCAATCATCCTCAAAGATAACAGTACGTTTCCTGCCTGTTTTTATCAAAAGGCGTTTATCAAAACCAAATCGGACCGTTTTGCAGAGCAGTTATATCCGCTGGGCGGTTTTCAGAGCGGAAAATCGTGGTAATTAAAAGTAAATAATCGCGTGTAATTCTCTTATACGCAGACTTATATCTCTCGTGATATAATGTTATGAAATTGACCACTATTTCTTACGTCACAGGTCAGTATGACCTAGCTGTAACCGACTGCTTTGCACACGATGGAGCCGGAAGATCTGAATTAAAGCTCATTGATGAAAACGGGTAAGAGAATAATTATAGGAGCGATTTCGGGCAAATTAAAACACGCCACACGTATGGATATCCTTAATGTAAACATGACTTTCTATGCCACGCGCTGTTTCAACGAAAATAACGCTTGCTGAAGCGTCTAACCCATTATTCACGGGGTATATTTGCATACGAATAATTTTCGCTACCTATTATGCACGCCATATTATACGAAATTGAATAATTTCACGTGCGCGTCACATTATACTCGCTAGACTTTCTGAATTTAAAATAAAGATGGCATAACTTGGCAAAATGGTTAATTAAACAACAATGTCAATCGTTCTCGTCCCATCGTGGGTGGCCACTGCCGTTGTGCCCTTGAGCAAGGAGACACACTATCCAACGAACTTCAGTCGACAGATGCTGTAGGAATATGTTTATCACGCATGTGTGATGCTGAAAATCATACCCGCGTAACATTATAACCGGCTAAAATTAAGTGATTTTGCAGAACTGTTACGCAACAACATAACGCAGCCGTTACGGAAACTAAAGCGTGGCTGTTGCAAAGGCCCAAATGGGGAAGGGGGGGACACAACTATATGTTCGCTATACAATAACGTCCCTATTTATGCTCCACGGAAACTAAAAACGGGGGTTGGGTGAACACAACTATATGTGTTCGCCGTACAATCACGTCACTTTACAGCGCTAGCTCGTTGTCGCTTTCAGGTGTCCTGCGAATGGAAATTTGGTCAGCCCACTGAGAAAGCTTCGGGACACACCCGCCGCCGGCCAAACCGCAGTAGTGACAACCTTCCAGGCTTTCAAGTTTCCGGATCAGGATAGCGTCTACTTCCGCTGCATGGCGAAGACGTGCGCAGGCAAATGCGAGGAGGTGCGTAATCATCAGTGCCGCTCATAGGGTCTATGTCTCCCAGGGTACTGCCGGAACGTACCCTGGTCACTGTTTGATATGGTTAGGGTTAGGATTAGGGTTAGGGTTAGGGTTAGGGTTCGGGTTCGGGTTAGGGTTCGGGTTCGGGTTAGGGTTAGGGAGTAGGCGTAGGCGACTCCCTAGACTCGTTAGTGGAGTAGACGAGGTACGGTCCGGCATATTAGATAGTACCAGGGTACGTTCCGGTATACCGGGGGTAATTGGTAATTGGGTTCCGGCAGTACCCCGGGGGACATAGACCCTCTCAGCATTAGTGCCAGTTTCATCAGTAATCATCAGTGCCAGTATCATCATGCACCTCGCGTAAAAGTAAAATGGTTATAGCGTTGCTTTTCGGTGTTTTTTGTCGCGGAGGGGGGGGGGGTTAAAACGCCGGTGTTTGCGAGAGAATTGTTTTGTACGCAATTTTTGTTTTTGTGTAAGTTATCGTTACGATCGTGGCACGTTATTTGTACAATGACGACACACACACACACACACACACACACACACACACACACACACACACACACACACACACACACAC